TTCTCACTTTGTGGGCGAGCTGTCATGTCAATATTTAAAAATAGCAACACGCAATAGGATATCGAGGACAAGTGACATAACTTTTGCTTTGTCCGCCATTCTGAATTCTCAGGCGGGTTACCGCTGTGCACTCGTTCTAAAAACTCCCGTTCCCGGTTCCCCGTTACTAGTTTTAGTAACATCCATTTATTTTTTAGTCTTTATTTTTTCCACCGCTGCAGATAAACGGAAGGAAGTTATATACCTGATAAAGAAATGGAAGAGGACCGATTCCCTGCTATTCAAAACGCAAATTTAGAATGATAATCCTTCTTGATAGTTCAATTCCTGGTCACAACCGATACTCTGTAACCTAAGAATGTAGACTAGAATATTTTCAGCCTACAGTCGGCAAAAATAACAATATCCAGGCTGGGTACGAAAACTATTGATTCTTATATACATTGAAGTATGTGAGTGAATGTTTAGAAGTATACTCTGATGACAAGTATGAACTATGGCTTCATTTAAACAGTGTCAGTCCATAACTAAGCTGATTATTTTGACTGAAGAACCAGTGCTTTGTAATCTTCACGTGACCAAACCTTCTGTAACGTGTTAGCTGGCTTATATCCTTTTATATTCCTCATACCTGCAGGACCTAATACCATTCCACTTAAGAGTACTTCAAAACCTTTCCTACCCTCAGTTTCTATTTTCATTTTGTATTTTCCGGATGTTATCCTCGTCCTAAGAAAGTAAATACGCGTCTGCAGGAGGATTCTTCCATAGTTCTCTCCCGTTATGGTCAAAGTGGTGCTTTCGTCTTCATCAAGCGAAATTTTGATCTGTCCATTTTGAAGATGACGAAGCACCAAACCAACTGACCACTTATCCGTTTTCCTCGCCATTTTAGGGGCGGTAAATGAAAATTCAATGAAACTTCCTCCATTTCTTGATTGCCAACCACCAAATGAATCACTTCTGTCTGCGTCAGTTCGGGTCATCTTTGCACACCTGCTCTGAGGAGTAATTTCATGGAAACCATTTCTCATTAGGATCTTGACTTCGAGTGATTGTCTTTCGTCTGGCATTCTCCAGTTCGTCGATATGAGTGACCAGCAAAGCGACCTTGAAATTAACGTTTGGTTAGAAAATTGAACAAATAGAGGCGGTATTTTCTCAATGGACTCAGCTGTCTTCATTACACTCTTCCATGGATGACAGATCAACCGTTTCAGCTCTTTCTGGAAATAATGAGTCAACATCAATGCAATTTGTGCATGACTCTTGACACCAATGTGAATATGATCCGCGTTTATCATGCTTGGCTTGATCTCGATACGCCGCTTTGATTTTATCGTATCCATTGGACAAATAACATCTCGCCAGCTCAACACCGTTATGTTATAGTATCTGGCAATCTCGTGCTGTCCAATATCTTCAAGATTGTAGCATCTTGGATTTAAAATACTCTTCCACCACTTCACTTTTTCGATCAAGTCGACCAACGTTACATACACAACTAATGGCTCTGACGAGAACGACATTACTCGTCGGGTTAATTGTTCCATCGGTTGAGCGGCCTCACCGCAGAGGTACCCGTAATCATTGACTGACAGTTCGATTAGCACTATGTCGGGTTCTTTAGTCTTTGTTAGATAGTTTTGTAAACATAGGCTGAAGAAGTCACTTCCAGTTCCCCCCAGTGACAAATTTTTAATGGTAAGTTTGGAACCAGTGTGCGGTAAAATCAGATTATTCCACCAATGAAGGAAGAGCTGGTGATAAAGTTGTCTATGATCTGAGATTCCTCCTCCAGCCGAGTTCGATCCTCCAATGACAATCATTCCGATATTCTCTCCTCTCAGCACTTTATGAAAAACCTTCCAGACGCGAAATGTGTTTTGGCCATAATTATAACTGGCCCTGTCAATAGTCTCCTCAGTGACACTCAGTTGCTCAAGATTACGATAAACTAGTCTGTGCTGCCAAATGTTAAAAGGATCTTTGTCGAGCCATAACGGGATGCCAGCGAACGCTGCGTTGGATAGAAGTACATGAACTAAAAACATCCACATTTGTTGGCGCATTTCACATGTAGATGATTAATTCTCTAACAGGTTTCTTGAAACATGAATGAAATCTCGGAAACACTAATGGCACCTTTCAGGGTAGTTAATGCTAACAGGTGTCATCGTGACGGAGAATCGACCATGCGTTTCACATCACCTGATATTTTGCAATACTCTCTATGTTAGGACTGCGAAACTTCTGCCAGAAGCTCAAACTGAACTGAATCAGTAATGGTCCAGTTTCAAATTCGCCATGACCGCTGATTGAAAGCACTGAGAACGCATTTGCACAGGGTTAGCCTCGACCTTAAGTAAAATATTCACAGCTCTACACATCCAGCTCGAAATGCCATGCTTTCAAAGCAAGGGAACGCTGAAAGAGTTCTTGTCAAGAATACTTTTGGCACGGCGTCTGTGTTACATGGCGATCAAAGTTTTCCGCAGTATTTTACAACTGCAATGGGCAAGTGCACAGTTATTGCTCTTCTCGATGACTCGAATTTGGCTTGAACGCTTTTCAAACTTTCTGACCAAGGTTTTATCTCCTTCATTTGATAGACGTTCCTTGAATTCTACTTGATTGTAATTTTCAGTCAGCAGACTCGCTTGCTTCGCTTTCAAAGTTTTCATTCAGCTATTTACAAACGGCGCGTATGTCATGTGATTCCCACTTGTTGGTTTTGCCTCATCAACATCCGGTCGTTTTGTAAAATTAAAATCCAATAAAATGAAGCTATAATTTCCTAGTATACAAGCGTACCGAATTTAATAAAACAATTTATTCCATTCGCCCTTGTTGGATATGAGATTGATTATAACCATCTCATATCCAACGAGCACTCATGGAATAATTTTTAATTATCTCCTAAACGTAACAAACTACCGAAACTGCCACTTTTAAGCCCCTCCGATTATAAGCCCCCCTCTAGCTTTCCTTGTTGTAAATTTGTCTCATTATGATGATTTAACGTTTAATCACCATTAAGTGGAAAACCTATTTCGATCAACATGTGCAGCTATAGCTCGTTTCGAAACGGTTTTTTTATTCCGGTTATAAGACCCTCGGATATAAGCCCCTCCGTTTATTAGCCCATCTAAAATCAGTGTATTAGCCCAGGGCTTATAAGCGGCAGTTTACGGTATTTCCGAAATACTATTCTTTTTGGTTTATTAGTGAACTGAACCGGGATTCAACACACAAGTGGACTCATGTGAAGTTTCTTCACTGTTATCACATTCATAATAAATCATAAATAAATTACACTACAGCATTGCAGATTCCTCAATTTTCGCGTCAATACTGCACATACACAACATCAAGAGATTTCCTTCAATGAGCTAAGTTTTCTCATAAACGAACATGGTGACCTTTATGTGCGCGTTCATAGCAAATTGCACCATGCTTCTTGTGTTTTGTGTGAACACATTTCCCATGAAAAGTAAACGAAGGAAGACTAGACTCTCCGGAGGATCCATCTTTTTCATCCGAATTGGAACGAACGAATCCACTTCCAGAACCGACTGTAGCATTTCGATGTACTTTAGAGTACTGAACTTATACTCCGCTTGGGAAGAAGAAATAATTGAGTGACGGCCACTGTTGAGACTGTCAATTTTGGTATTTTTTTTCTATTCTTTATTGAAAAGCGTTCTACTCAAACGTTAACAACAATTCATGGCTATAAAGAACGATACTAATTGATATTTCATGCTTAAGGTTTTCGCCGCGAGCTTCAACTAATTGACCTTAACATAGCATTTTGTTTGCGTCAAAGGAATTAAGCAAGAAAAAAAAAAGAAAAAATTACTTATTCAATACGTGCCCTTGATGCCTTTGCATCTCGCTGTATTTAACTATTGACAATACTGTAACTAACACTAGCAATAAGCCATCTGGCCTTACTCTAAGCATACATCAAGCTAGAGTGTGTCTTCAGTGTTGAATTACTTTCGACACTGAAGTGAAAAGTGCTCTACATATTTAGTCACTTGTTAGTATCAATGCAGCAACTTATACTATAACCTATTAAGCTAACAACTGCCAGAAATGCTACTCTTATCT